TATTCTGACACTATCTGCTTCATACTTTTTTGACTTTAAAATTATTTTTATTTGATAAAATAATGGTGATAGTAGATAGCCATTTTTAATCTCATTTGGAAAAATAAAGGATTGATGGCCCTGTGGTTGCTGCCTGGGAATTTTATAAATTAGCTGGGTTGTGTTTTATAGTCTGAAAATCACCAAGATGCTACACTGGTTATTGTGAAGGGTAAAGGATGACTCTCTGCTCTCTAAGAGTAAGTAATTCCTGTGGGAAAATTAGACATTTGGGCAAAATTGCTGGCCCAAAGTTACCTTCCAAAACTGTGTTTGATAAGTAGACTATGTCATGATAGGTGAATAAATTAATATACATATTATATAGTCAAGAACATTGTCTAAGAGTTCAGAAGAAACAAACAGAAATTAACTTTTTCATAAAGCCTGGATATCATTGAGTTGCTATTTAGTTTGCTCTTTAATATTAGAAATGACGATGGGGTGGGTACATTAACAATGACTGGTGTGCAGGGAATGGAGCTGGAAGTACCCAGATTTGGGTTACTCATGATGTATTAGTGAGCTTTGGTTGTGTAACAAAACATCCTAAAGCTTGATAGCTTAAAACAACAACCATTTATTATGTCAGAATTATGAGGATCAGTTGTGTGCAAATCTTCTGGTTTGGCCTGGCTTTGCTAATCTCAGCCGGGCTTGCTAATGTGTCATCAGTCAGCTGTTGGTTGGATTATCTAGTATGACCTCACTCACTCACATATCTGGCAGTGACTGACTACTGGCTGGTATGGTGGTGGTGATGGATCACATGTTTTTATTCATCCAGTAAGCCAATGCAGGCTTTTTCATATGGAGGCTGCAGAAATCCAAGAGCAGCAAGAGAGAGTAAGCCCAAGTTCACATGTGCTTTCCAAGCTTCTACTTGCATCCTATTTGCTCTTATCCCATTGGTTAGAGCAAGTTACATGGCCACATCTAGAGTGAGTGTGGGAGAGAGTCCGCATGGACACAAACAGCTGTGAGCAAATTGAGGGCCATCACTTCAACAGTCTGTCATTCTTGGTGAATAGATAAAACCCACTTAATGGTCTTATCATTTCTAAGTACCTTCTGTCCAAACTGCTCTAAGAATTTATTTCAGATGGGGCCAGGAGCAGAAATAGAGTGGAGCATTATAGAATTATAGAGTTGGAAGCAAATTTCTAAATAACCTAGCCTATTTCTATCATTCAACAGAGAAGGAAATTGAGACCCACAGAAGTTTGATGACTTACCCAAAGAGACAGAGTGCGGTACTGATAAATATTTAAAATGTTTTCGCCTATACTCCAGGAATTTAATCTTGAAGGAGAGAGGAAACTCCATTTCATCCTTGATGTTTTGAGCATGTGGGATAAGGTGAGAAAAACAAAGTAAAACAAGGTAGACACAGTCCCTGCCTTCATGGAGCTTAGTCTAGCAGGAATACACAGACAATAAACTAGATAATTATAAGACAGTATATATACTAGGATAATTATAGGATGTTATGAGCAATCAAGGGGAGCATGAATCCTGAGGGGACAGAGCAGATATACATTAATGTCTAGGCTGTTCACATATAAATTTATGAATTCTCCTAACAAAACCTATAAAGCAGATGCTGAGTATCCCTATTTTTCAGGAAAAGAAACTATGGTACAGAGAGGTTAAGGGACAAAACTCATAAGTGGCAGAACTGGGGTTTGTACACTGAGTACCTGTTCTTAATGTACCAGAGTCCATGTTCTTAATTATTCCCATCTGCTGCCTGTGGTAATGGGGAAAAGAAGTGGATGCAGTTGAAGGATCATTCTGCCATCCCACAGAATGATCTGGTTGAGAACAGAATTCCTGGGTAGATATTTTAAATTCTATTCCTTATAAATAACCTTCAGATACTTGCAAGTTTTAAACTCTGTGCATGATGCTCATGTGTGTGTTTGCATGTGCACATGTGCAGGCTTGTGCCCATATATACCCAAGTATAGTTAGGGTTGAACTCTTACAGATCCCTGTACAAATTAGCCTATATGGTGAGGTGCAGCTTGCTTTGTTCTTTTGATTAATAACTCTATATATGTATGTATGTATGTATGTATGTATGTATGTATCATCTATCTATATCTATATCTACCTCTCTCTCTCTCTCTCTCATCTATCCATCCATTTTCTCTCTATCTATCCATCCATTCAATTTTCATTCTACTCAGAATCTTCTGACTCCTTCCTACCCTGGTACTGGATTATTTTGATTTTGTTTCTGTTGTTTATTTACTTTCTTTTCTCAGGTTGGAAGGCTGTGCTTTCTTACCGCCAGAGGCTCTTGCTAAGGGAGGTGGCCCCCTTTCTACTTTTCTTCTCTTAAACCTTAACCATTAATTGTGTTCCCTGTGACAGATGATACTGTATGGGAGAGCAAAGAAATGGATAATCAGTCAGAGGGAAAAAGCCACTTTTGTTTAAAGTAGAATATGCCTGGGAAGGGAAAGGAGCCTAACAAATTATTTAAGACTGAGCTCAGACATTCACTTGTGGGGTGTGTGTGTGCATGAGCACGTACGTGTGCACATGCCATACTCTTAGGGAAATATTAGACCCTACTTTTCACTGAAAGGCAGAGGTCATCTACTTCCTGATTTTGGTTCTTCAACATTTTATCTCTACATTGTTTGTTAGTATCTATTATTTTTTCTTCCTTGGCACCTGTCTAAATGGAAGAAATGCCCTAACTGTAACCAAGGACAGCCCTTCTACATTATTTTTCTATTGCTGCCATGACAAATTACCACAAAGGTAGTGACTGAAACAACACAAATGTATTATCTTGTAGTTTTGTGGGTTGGAAGTCTGACTTGGTTCTCGCTGGGATAAAATCAAGGTGTGGACGGGGCTGTGGTCCTTCCCAGAGGCTCAGGGGTCCTTTGGGTTCTTGGGCTGCATTCAATTCCTTGCAATTGCAGGACTGCCTCCAGTTCTCAAATAGGGCCATTCTCCACTCCTTCCCATCTTTCTTTGTCTTGAATTGCCCCCATCCCTCCATCACATCAAGTACTGCCCATCTGACCGTCCCAAATCTCTGTTCTTTGTTCTTTCCTCTCAATTCTGCTGCTTTCTTTGGACTCTCATCCTTGCTCATCTAGGGGTTTACAATAACCTTAATTGGCTTCACTTTCTTCCAACCCCGCTCTCCTCAGTATCTCAAAACACAGACCTGATCATGAAGGTAATTTGACCAATACTCCTTTACTTAATTTTTTTCACTCTCTGGTCACAACATACCCCTGAAATCACATCCTCCACTGTGACCTCCTAACACACTTCATTTCTGCTCTGGCCTCCCTAGGAAGAGGACTCACTCGTCCCCAAACATACCAGCACCTCTAGACTCGGGCCCTTCACCCAGGCTGTTCCCCTACCCTGAATTCTCCTCTCTGCTAACCTCTACTTGTCAGTATCCACAGGTAAGCATTGATGTGCAGGCTGGATGAAACCTCTTCTGAGAAAACATCCTTGATTTCTCGGACGGCCTGCACCCCTCCTCCCCTCAGCGTTTCTGTGGTTCTGCGTCTGTGGCTCATCGATCCATGCAGGAGAGCCATTCATTTAAATCTTTCTCCTCCACTGGTTCACCTGACACATGACATGGTTGTCTTCGTTATCCTTGTACCCCTGCCGCGCACACTAGGCTCCAGGAACTGTTTGCTGAATCATCCTGATTGGATTGTGTTGCTGCCATGTTTCATCAGCAGTGACATGGTGATCACGAACATCTACAGGGGCAGTGTCCTCCCCATAGCAGCCACCCCCGAGGGCTCCTCTGGGTCAGCGTTTGTCAGGACCTCTAGACAGGGGCCTGAAGGAAGAGAACTAGTTTGCAGTGAGGACGTACAATTCCCTCGAAATCTGTTGCAGTCACGGGCAGTCTCGTTCCTCCCCACTTCTGCCTCCTGTCCCCTCCCTCTGGAGACGGCCCTGATTTGCGCTCTCTCTTCTCTTCATTAGCTCTGCTTGTGGAGTGGTCCCCAGCTGCAGCTTCCTTTGGTCTTCTCCGGCTTCCACTGTTTGTTTATTTATTCCTCTGTCAGCCTCTTCCTCTGGCTGTGGCCATTGTGAATAGAGCTGATGACTGTCGGCTCCAGGGCCTGGCAGCATGTGGGTAGCAGGTCCAGTAGACTCTACGGTTGGATGCTAAGGGTTATCCCTCATGCTCAGAAGCTGCTCCAGGGACTGGCCCAAGCTGCCCATGAAGTTTTGCTCCTGACCCTCCAAACGGAACTTTGCAGACAGAAGCATCACAGGACACACTCACCCCGTCCCCTCCCAGTTCTCCCTCTTATTCCCATTCTGGTCACCACAACTCCCCTGGTCACCGGTCGGGCAGAGGGCAGAAGGGCACTCAGGCTTGCCTGCCGTGTAGAGTGATAAATGACACTGACCATTTCATGCATTATCCCCTTTGTGCCGATCTCACTGTATCCTTTGAGAGAGTTGGAGCTATGCTTGATCTAAATTGCCTTGCCATTCCAGATTCCTGAGCCAGCATGGCCTTGCTTGTTGGCTGTCCAAGAGAGACGACCTTGAGGGCAGGCCAGGAGTGGGGGCTTTGTCTTTCCCCTACACCACTTCATAGAGTGGATGCTTCCAGCCTGGTGTTTTTGAGCCAAAGCAGGTCATCCTCTCTTCCCCATGCCAGTTACCCTACTTCACCTCCTGCGCTGCTGTGCCACACAGGGCACCTCTCCCCCACTCCCCCCTGCCACCCCCTGCTCTCTGCCTCTCCCTGAATTTCCAGAGCAGCTGGCCCCTTGGAGGCAGCTGCCAGTGAGGAGCTGTCAGCAGGAGAGACACACAGGCAGTGCCATCCTGCTCGAGTTTGCCGTCCTCCCCCGACTCCGCGAGGCAGTGCGCATCATCTGTCAGAGTGCCCCTCTCCCTCCCTCCGCCTCCCCACCCTCTTCCCTTGCCTCTCTGCTCCTTCCCTGTGCACAAGCCGAGAGGAACCCAGCCAGGGGGAGCCGCATGTTGCAGCCGCTCTGCTAGGCGCCCAGGGGAGGTGAGGTGGGCCGGCCCTCTGCCAACCTCTGCCTCGTACCAGGAGGTGGCTGGCTGTCACTCAGAGCCTCACCGAGCCATGCCCAGCAGGGGCCCAGACCAGCCACACCTTCCAGCTGCCCTGCTCACCGCCAGACAGGTAAGAGAGGGCAGCTCCTTCAGTAGGGCCCCACTGGGTCCCTGCTCTGCTTATCCCGAGCGGCAAACGGTGCTGAGGGGGGCAGGACACCTCAGAGCAGAAAAGGCACTGTCCAGCCAGAATCCTCATTCATCCTCTAACAGCTACTGAGTGGGCTGCGCCAGCACCCTTGCCAGGAGCGAGGAGGCAGGCATGTGCCTATTCTGCCCAGTTAGTGGGCGCTAAGCTGCACATGTCCTTTTTTTTTGTTTTCCTCTTTCTCAATCCTGACTCCCCAGATGCCCTGAAACCTGCTTTCTGTTCCAAAGGGATGTTGTTTCTGTGCTCAGATCCCTTCGGGGGCTCTGAAAATATTGTAGGTGGATATCTGGACTGGGACACTATCTCTTGTAGTTTCATTCATGTCTTTTTCTGCTGTTGTTCTGAGCGGGTCGCCTGCACAGCAGCCGGCTGCACACAGCATCTGTTTTGTTTCCAGTCAGCCTGCAGGTCTCCAGTGCTGCTGGTGACTAACGCTGGCGACACATTCCGATGCAGAAGGACTCGTAGTCACAATGAGTCAGAGGGAGATTAAAATACACTGGAGATCACCAGTTTCTTTGATTTTTTTTTAGCTTTATTGAGGTACAATTGCAGATAAAATAGTAATATGTTTAAAGTGTATAATGTGATGATTGCATATACACGTACGTCATGAAAGGATTCCTCCCATTGATTAATGAACACATCCATCCATAGGTCATGAATTTCTTTTTTTTTTCTTCCAGGTTTTTATTATTACATACAATGCTAAAATAATATTAAAGTTAAATTTTTTCTCTTAAATTTTTCTTAGACATTCTTAAAACTAGATCTGCTGGGATGAGAGGTTTTTCTTCCAACTGGTATAATTGACCTATAACATTCTATTAGACTCAGATATACAATATGATGACTCATTATTTGTTTATCTTGTGAAACGGTGCCCACAGTAAGTTTAGATAGAATCCATTACTATGGGTAACCACAGATCTTTTTTTTTTGGCAGGTCACCAGTTTCTAAGCAGCAAGTTGAGGGCACAGCCGCCACTTACAGGAGGTGATGAGTCCCTGGCATCAGCTAACTGGGTCCCCCCAGGGCTGTCTAGGTAGTGACTTTTTGGGGGCATGGAGGAGGAGAGTGGATTCTCTTTTTCTGTGTTAGAGTCACTCAGTATCCATCCATTGTTTCACACACACACTGAAAATCTGGCTTTCGGGTCCTCATATATCCTGATTTTGGTGTGCCTTCAGACTTGTGCAATAAAAAGGATAGCCTTTCCCAATCCTGTAAATTGGGTTATTTTTGGATCATTTGTTCCTATAGATTTGGAAAACTTTAGGGCTTTCTTGGAAGATGGAGGAGGATCTAGAAACTGATCTCCAGATAAGACAGCTATTATCAGGAGATCATAGAAGAGTGTGAGGAAAGTTCAATGCTCTAAACACACGTTGTGTGGTATCATGCCCAGGATGGCTGTTGTTACTATTTGGTGGATGATGACCCCCATGAGCAATCAATCAATCTGGTAAACTAGTGTTTTATTAACTGTTTGCTCACTGCCCAATCTTTGGAGTAGGTTTTCTGGAGGAAGGTCGATAGGAGTGGGGTGAGTGGGGATTCATAGTGTGTGTAGTGTGGCCTGCAGCCCACCATGGCCAGGCAAAGGTAGGCCACTCCAGGGGACTACATCCTTTGGCACTTTCTGAAAGAAAAGTCCACACAGTGCCTAACACACAAAGGAATCTGAACTTCCTCATTGTCTTTGTTCTGTTGACTTCAATCTGCTAAAGAAGCCAAGGTCTTTCTGTCATGGGTCAGTGAACTTGTGCCTGAAGAACACAGTTCCTAGCCATAGTAGCTAGGTACTCCCAGGGGATGGAATGAGAGTGCAGATGGATGGTTTAGCCAAGCCTGTCATATTTGCATTAAAAAACCCCCTCCAAATGTGGATCTCAGTGGTAGGTCAGCAGTGAATATGCTGAGATGTGTACAGAATGGAAAAGTCCTGGTCGTCCTGTGTTCAAGTCTCCCTAAGGCCACTAATTGAATTACCCTGGGCTTTTCATTCAGGGTTACTTAACAGCTCCTTTTATAATCTGTAAAATGGGTACAATAACAAGGGCCCAGTTTATTTCCAAAGGTTTTTGAAAGGGTTAACTAATAGGAATAATCATAGTTCTCAATTATCAAGACGTGATGGCCAACTTTGCTAGGAACCTCCCCTACATTACGCTGTTTAATCCTCCAACTTCCCAGAACAAATTGAGGCTCAAGAAGGTTAAGAAACTTGTTCAAGTTCAGCTACAGAAGTGAAAGCAATGCTGCTGCGTATAATGTTGTGTTGTTGTGTATAATGACTTCTTCCTCAGTCTTATCCCAGGCTCTCTGTTTTATCCTTTTTCATTTCCTCTTTGTCCAAACATCTGTATCTCCAGAGACACTAGAAATGCCCCTTGCTTCCCTGTGCTTGGTGGACTAGGATATTTTTCACTGTCTGATAAGCTTCAGCATCTCATCAGGACCTTTATCAGAGTGCACTGTACAGAATTTCTAGAAGGTTTTTCGAATTTTTCAATAAAAGGTCCTGGAAGGAACAGGGTCTCAGAGATGCTGATTGGCTCAAGGCAGATTCCTACCAGGTCTTGTTTCTCAAGGAAAAGTGTCAGAATTTTCTCAGCATCTCTGTGCATCAGAGTGCACCCACACAGCCCTGAGCCCTCCCCCTGCTCCTCATGCAGACGAAAGTGCACCCCCACAGGCCCCGGAGCGAGTTGTCTCATTTCAGAGAGGGCTCCGAGAAGGTAGGAGCAGATGCCAGCGGGAGAGCTACCCCGAGGAGGCCTGGGTTCCGCTCCACTCCTGCCTGCCGCGGTTGCTGCACGTCCCCCCCTTTGGTCTGTGGAGTCTCCTTTTTTGCATGACCCTAAGTGGCTAGAATGGAACTGGGAGGATATAAAAGCCCTTGACTGAAGTCATTAAAAAGGGAGGCTTAGAAAGGCTTATTTTGTATTCAGAGGAGGGGGAGAGTGCTGAAGCCACTTTCTCTCCACAGCTGTAGACCCTGACAGCAACTGGTAAAGCTTTTGTTCTCTTGAGAAGAGGAAGAGATTGATAACCAGAGTCCTGGCATCGTGAAATAGGAGGAAAGGACCACAGTGCAGTGTGGCACTGCCTTGCACTTACATGTCAGCCCCAGGGCTTTGAAAACCAGGTCCTGCTGCTTCTCCATCTCTGGCCCTGCTGCCCATTTTCCTGCAGCCTCCACCCCGGCCCCATTTGGTGTGGGGCCTCTGCCTTCTATGACTGGTGCATTCCACGTGAATTCATGTTTCCATAAAGCTCAATAATTTGCAATCCATGTTTGCTTATATATTCATTGAATTCTTACAATCAGTAGGAAGTTGGCATTACTTTAGCAATGCTGATTTCAGAAATAAGAAAGCAAGGTCTTAAACTAAGATGGCCCAGCCATGAAGGGACAGAGTGGGAACTTGGACCCTTGTCATCTGACATTGGAACTTGTGCCATTTCTATGATTCTGAGCTTCCTCTTATAGCCAGCATCCTGCTCCAAGCATGACCTCACTCACCTAGGTGCTGGTTGGTCCACATAGGTTCAACAATCATTTATTGAGCATCTTCTTGGTACCAGACACTATGCCCGGTATGGGAGCTGTAGAGATGAGAAGTACATCTTTTACTTATGTAATGTACATAGGTAATGTAATGTACATTGCTTGGCATGTAGGAGATAACTAAATATTGGTTGGATGAATGAATGAATGAATGAATGAATGGATATACTTTCCTGCCCCCAGTGAATTTAGGAGTTTGGTTAGCAGAAGAGAGTTGCAGGCCAGGTGCTAAGGTAAAGAATTAAGTCTGGGAGCATGGAGGAGGGCATTTACAGAACCTGGGTATGCAGAAGAGGCTGCTTGTAGTAAGTGGTCCTGCAGTGCAGCTTGAAGGAGGGGAAGGTGTAATGAGGCCCGGTGGTGTGGAGCCTATGATTGCACCCAGGACAGTGAACAGTACGGAGTTGTTAGGGCAGGAAGCACAGACCCGGGAAGTGGTGGGCTACTCTTAACATAGCCAGGACCCAGTTCTTGAGGAGTTTATGTGTCTGGATCTTTATTAAAGCTTGAGCTTTATCTTTAGGCTAGGGGGGTTTACAGGTTGTGAGGAAAAGGGAACATAGTCATATTTGTTATTTATACAGAAATTATGGCTGCAGAGTGAAGCTGAACTTAAGGACATAGTCCGGATCACAGAGACCACTGACCGTGAGGATAGGAACCAGGGACCATGAGTCCGGACTTGAACCAGAGCAGAGGGGCAAGGATGGAGGGGAGACAGACGTGAAGCCTATGATGGAGATTTCATCAGTATGAATTGGTAATTGGCTGACTAGAAGAGATGAGAGAAAAGGAGTTGTCTTTAATTACTTCCCTATTTCTAGCTTGAGTTGCTCAGTGGATGGTGGTGCCAGAAACACTGACCGAAGTGTGTTTCTTAAGAGACCTTTTTTTCAACACTGATGATCATCGTCTGAGAGACAGTCCTGTAATCCTATAATATCTCTGGATTTTGTATCATTTTCACCATTTAATTCTAGGAAACCTAAGGAACAATTGCAGTTCAGACTCCAAAGCCCCCAAAGTTTAACTTTAAAGGTCCTCCTAGACACACTGAGAGTGAGAAGCATAAAGATGATGAATAAAGGAAAGAGAATAGAAGGAAGAAAAGGCTTCAGTGAGTTTAAGGAGGCAAATAAAGGCTCATGAAGAACAAAAGAAAATGAGAAAGGTTAACAGAGGCTGTGTAGTCCTCCATCCATGCAGAAGCTTGAAAACCTTTATAAACGTATTTCATGTGTTTTTGTGTCACCTCGGTTAGCAGGTGGTAAACATGAATCTTTATGTAATAACATTCTCTTTATTTAGTGCCTTTCCCCAAACAGCTTATCAAAAAGCGGAGCAGATAATCATCCAAGTGATCCTCCGTGTGAAGCAAGGAGGTCATAGGAATTCTAGTTCCTGTTTTACAGATGATGAAATACTTGATACGGCTGGTAACAGCGGCGCACATGAAACCCTCCTTTGTCATTTGTCAAGCATTGCGCCAAACACTTGATTACATTATATAGTTAATCCTCGTAACAGGCATATGACATTGATACTGTTATCTTCATTTCATCCATGCTGAAAATGACACTTAGAGAGTGTAACTTGCGCACAGGTCCAGATCTGGACTCTTACGGGCATCTATTGAAACTGTTCCTTTTTTTTCAGGTCAGTCTACCCTCCCTAAGTCTTTTTTGGCATATACCTGCTCACTGGCAAAATTGCATTTAAAGGGAAGTTCAGAGCATCACCAAGTATGGTACAGATCTTCCTCAGCTTATAGTGGGGTCACCTCTTGATAAACTCATCATTAAGTTGGAAATAAGTCAAAAAGGCCTTGAATACACATAACCTATTGAACATCTCGGCTTAGCCTAGCCTACATTACATGTGCTCAGAACGCTTACATTAGCCTACAGTCGGGCATCTAACACAAAGCCTATTTTATAATAAAGTATTAAATATCTCATGTGATTGATTGACTACTGTACTGAAAGTGAAAAACAGAATGGCTGTGGGTACAGAATGGTATGTTGGTTATTTGCCCCCAGGCTGGTGTGGCTGACTAATGGGCTCGCTGCCACCGCTCAGCATCCCGGGAGCAGATTGGACTGCATATGGCTAGCCCGGCAAAACATTCAAATTCAAAATTCAAAGCATGGTCTCCACTGAATGTGTATCACTTTCACACCATTGTAAAGTCAAAAAATTGTCAGTCGGGGACCGTCTGTAATAGGGTAGGGTATACGAGAATACGCAAAGCATTTTCCTTCCCACAGATTTTCTCGTTTCTTCCTTATAATCACCCTGAAGGGCAGGTGTGTTAATTTGTTTTTTACAGATGAGGAAATTGAAATTCAAAGCTCTTGGTTATGTTAGTCAGTGATCACATAGCTATTAGGGTGGTTAGGGTCACAGAGCTAATGGCAGAGTTGGGACCAGAGGTCCTTTCTTCTGATTTTAGGTCCTGTGCCTCTCAGGTTCTCTTTGCAGACCTCATGGGCCCTCCCCTTTAGCTGCTGACTTCTTTCCACGTTCCCGCTGATGTTCCTCGTGAGAAGTCGAGCAGGCTTATTACAAATTAAGTATCTGGATGCTTGAACTGATGAACAGGAAATGAGGCTGCTAATGCTCAGAGGAATGAAATTGAGATGTATTTTTTTTTCTAGTAGAATTTTGGGCCAAGTGGCCTCTTTCTGTCCTCCCTGTGTCCTTCCAGTCTCCATGGAAACCCCAAATCAATGCAGCATATGTTGATTCATGTTTCTACTGTTACTAGGAAGCTACAAAGTGGAAATTGTTTTTAAAAGATTTGCGAAAGAGCTTTAACATCCTGACCAGAATTCAAATCTAATACCCAAATGACTGTTTCATTGAAAGCTTTTAATGTGGTGCTATCCTAGGTGGTGTGCTGATTAAATAAACACACATGGGCATTTGGCAATAAACTTCCTCCACTGTCATGGCTTTTAAAAGTATTATATTGCTGACTTTAATTCCCTTTATGTTCAGTGTAAGTGCATTTTTTGGCCTGTGTGATAATGCCAAGTGCTCCTTTTGCTGGTGATTAATTGAGTCCTGCCTTGACTGGGCTGCTGGGAATGATTGCGAAGGCCTTAGGTACCCATGCTGCCCCCGAGTGTCATTATCACTGGACTGACTTCAGTCTTGACCTGGAGACTGCGGAAGTCTATCGTGTTTCTGTCACATGGAATCCTGAGGAATTTTTTCATGAAAATCAAACTCAGCTGAATGTATTAAGTACCTGCTCCATATGAGGCAATGGGAATTGATAGGAAGGGGAATAGGTCACAGTGTCTGTCTTTGTAGAGACACAGCATTTGGGAGGATCAGAAAACAAAGCACAAAGATAAACTACCCCCTGTGATGTGACTGTCAGAGAATCACACAGCAGCGTGATGGTGTCGGGATGGAGGGATTCATTCTCACTGAAGAAGTTCTGAGAAAGCTTTGGAAAGGAGAATTTTTAGCTTGGAGGTACTGGGTTTAGAGAAGGAGCTGGGTGTTAAGAGGCAGATCAAGGGTGGGGACATTCTGGGCAGAGGGAGTGGGAATCCGGGGTGCGTGTGCATGCCTGCATGCATGTGTGTGCACATGTGTGCACAATAGGGTATCCGACTGGAGGGGTAAATGAGGCTGAATTATTGGAATGTCAGGACAAGGTGTTGTGATGGAGCCCATCAGAAATTATTATACAGCTGATTCACTTTATGGTATCTGTTCAGTGGGAGACTCTGGTGGCAGTGTGGTGTGCTAGGAGGTTTGTGGGGGTGGGAGGGCAATGAAATGGGGCAGGAAGATCAGTTGTTTACGAGGGGGCGGAAGGGGCATCCACCGTGCTCTGCCAAATAACCTCTGACTCGGCAGTGTCAATGGATGGGAGGGGATGAAGGTGAGAAATGTTTCAGAAATACAATGACAAGGTTTAAAAACCAGTTCATCAAGGGGACTAGAGAAAAAGAAGTAAAAAATACCTGCACTGAGGGGCTAGGACAGAGTGACATCACGAGCAACCATAGGGTACCCAGCAGGAATGGAGGACTTGGAAGGAAAGGTGGTTGTTCCCAGTGGGTCTGTGGGGTCTGAGAAGGGTAGAGTTGCCTAACGGACCTCTGGAGGAGCCATCTGGAGCTCCAGACAGGCAGGATGGAAGGACTGATTCTGGAGAGAAGCAATGGCGGGTGCCTGGAAGGATGGGGTTCCCAAGCGCAGCAAGCGTAGAAGGGGAAAAGCAGGGAGGTGCAGTGCAGAGAAGCCAGAGCAGAGCCTGCAATGACTGCTGGCCCGGGAGAAACCATGTGTCATGGCCAGGGACAATGTCCTGTGCCCAGCTGCCAGCCAGAACTCAGGAGCAGTAATCAGAGCTGAATGCAGAGCACTAGAGCCCTGGGCCACGGCGCTCAGCCTGGGGAAGAGTCCAAGGAGGTGAGTGCCCATCCCATCAGCATGCCAGCCTCCTTGCCTGCCGCTGTCTCTCTCCTTCAGGAAGGAGGCCCATCCTAAAATGCTGGCCCTTTGGTTCAGCTTAATTCCCCCTACCCTCTGGAATTCTTTGTACACCTGCCCTTACAGGAAGGAAGATTAAGGTAGAGTCCTCCCCTGAGAGAGGGCTTGTACTTGGTCTGTGTTTCTCAAACTAGGGTGCTATGTGGTTACTGTGGTGTTTGGGAGCGTTTTGGTCAAAAAACTTTCAGATTAATTTTAATTTTCTCTTTTTGCTCATGCTAGATGCACGTCTACACATTCTTGCTCCACTGCTCTTTAGATTCTCATTCTTTCAAAACTTTATTAACTATTTTATCTTTCCTTAAACATTGGGCTGGCTGACTGACCTCCTGTGACTATATTATTTCTCTAAAGGCTGAGTGGAGGCTCTTATGATGCTTGGTCAGCTTCCACTTGAGATTTGGGCCCATCTGCAGCCTGGCCCTGTGTCCTCCTCAGAGCCTGTAAAGCCTGGTTGGCACACATCACAGCATGAGACTTGGAGGAGGCCTTAATTTTACTATTTTAGCACTGGTAAGGGAGTCCCCTGATGGCTCCACCTTTGTATTAAAGTAAGGGGCAGAAGATTGAAGTCTGGTATCAGATACCAGCCTGCCACTTATAAATGACTTGTCTCTGTTTTTCCATCTGTAAACTGGGGATGGTAAAGATTTTGGCCTTGTAAGTTTGTTGTGAGTATTAAATAAGGTAACACAAAGGCAATGTTTCCACAGTGTCTGGCATATGCTAAGTGCTCATTAAACATCAGCTATGTGCATGGAATCCAGAGGTGGATTCATCTTACAGTGTAGACGTAACTTGGATTAGGGACGTACTTATTGATGGGCTTTAATTCACCAGTTTATCTGTGCACCTGTTTCTTATGGTACAGTGTATTAGGCAAATGTCTGGAAGTAAAGGATTCTCTTTACGCTTCACTTCTAAACCCCAATTTGCATCAGGGACTATGGGGTGTGAGGGATGGAAAACGTTTCTTTTGCATCTCATTTTATAACACTAAGTTCCCTTTACCTAACGAGGGCCACTGCGGGCATTTTCAGAGAGAGACAATGAGTCACTGTGGAGGCAGTGTCAGAACTTTTATTTCATCCTATCATCAGGCAATGTGTGGTTGCAGCAGGATCGTGTCACCACGAGAATACAGGTTATGCACCAGTAGATCTGCCAGGAAAGATTGGGTCCTGGCATGACGCCGTGGGAAAGCTCTGCTGTAAGAGTTGTAAGAAAATAAGTTCTGGTCCTTGGGCTGCCTCTTAGTTGTTGTGCCACTTTGAAAGAGGCATGTCACCTTGTCTAGCCTCAGTTTTCTCATCTGTAACACAAGGGTAATAACGCTTTCTCTGTCCATGGCATGAGGTTGTTGAGTGGCAATATGTTAAAATGCTTTCTACATTGCAAAAGGTTAAACAAACAGAATCTAGTATCTTTATTGTAAAGCTATCACTTTCCATAGAGATTTCCTCTTCCTCTAGTAGAGGCTGCCTTCTGGGTTTCAGAACCGGCTTGCAGCAAAGACTAGGTACATTTGGAGCTAGTTGCTGAGTGGGAGCCGGAAACTCAGCCTTGGACCCCGAGAGTGGAATGAGGAGAGGCACACGTTATCCCAAGGCAGTGTTTTTCAAAGTTTAGCCTGGATCAGGCTCACCTTGGAAGGCTGGGCTCCATCCCTAGAGTTTCTGAATTGCAGGTCTGGGGGTGGAGACTGAGAATTTGCATTTCTAACACATTCCCAGGTGATCCTGACCCTGTTGGTCCAGGGACCACACCCGGAGAACTACTGTACTAGCAGGGAGAGAGAATCCTCCTTTTGGAACTGAAACAGGCAGCGTGAAGATCCATGTGGGTAAGGTGGTTTTCCTACAGAAAAAAAAATGTACAAGACAGAAAAATAGAGATAATGTGCAGATTGGGCAGAACAAAGCGAAAAGTCTCACTCTGTAACAAATGCAAGTAGGGGGAAGTTGCTAGGTGATGGATGAGGGAGAGAGGTGAATTTCCACTGTAGGAAAATCCAGGAGCACAGAGTTGGAAATATTCATGTTTGGGGAGGAGAGGAGGTGGAAATTTCTCATTAAGAAGTGAGGAGTGGTGTGGTTGGCACAGGGGGTGGGAGTGGAGATGGGCTGGGGAGCAATGCCTCTGTAGAGTAAGGCGGACAACCGAGAAGAGGAGGGGGGGGAGTAATTTCAGGGCTGTGTCGTTTGCCTTGGTAGTGCAGCACAATAGAAACTGGGAGAAAGGGGGTGGAATTTAGATGTGTGACCTGCCCCGTAGCTTTCTTGCTCTCTGCATTTATCACATCACATCACACCCAGCAAGCCAGCCCCCCTCCTCCTGGCTCATTAGGAGATTTGATTCGGCTGGGCTCCTGCTGTCAGCAGCTGTCTGGGGCAAGATCTTTGTGCTCCCTGCTTCCTGAGCACCAACCAGCCTTCAGCCAGCAGCAGAGCTCATTAGAAGAGGGCCCCTGGACACCTGATATTCAGCTCATTGGTGACCAGAAAGAGTTAACACAAACTGCGGCGCTGCCCCCAGCACAGCCTCTGGGTGCAGAGGGAGGCAGCTTTGGGCTGTGGGAACCTCTCCCTGAGCTGCAGCCAGAGGAGCAGGAAAGCAGGTTAGTGAGGCTGAGGAGGAAGGTGTAGGGGGAGTGCCAGGCTAGCTCTGCTCAGGGCACCTCCTGCATCCTGCCAATGAGGATGGGCGTGCAGACGGTGCCCAGGAGCTGAGCCACCGCCCGCTGGGTGTGGGCTGCTTCGGTATTTACTGGATGTGACAAGCAGAGAGGAGAGCTTTCACGGGCCGCTTGCTGCCCAGCTGAAGTGGTAGGAGGTGTGTTGTGCATGCATGTGTGTGTATATGTGTGTATGCATGCATGCGAGTGTGCCTGTGTGTCTACGCACACATGCCCTTCACGTGCTGAGGATTTGACTGCTAAAAGAAAGATCTACTCTTTCCCCAGAGCTCCTTAACCTGCAGCCTCTCTGACCATCCAGTTGGCAAGGCCCACAGGCCATGAGGACTAGTCAAAGACAGTGAGTATTTCTTTTGCTTTTCTCTTTCCTCTTGGAGGTACCCATGTGGGCTGATTGCATTATCCATATTTAATTAACCTGCCTCTCTATGCATATTGATTGCTTTCTCCCTGATGAGGTTCTTAGTTTCTCTTCCCTTCTTTATAAATCTTTGCCCTTTGATTTTAACCTTATTTTTGCCTTGAGTATCTTCTTTTTCCATTATACCCCACCCTGCCTGCCCCAGAATCACCTGTAACTTGATGGCTACCTATGAGGGGGCATGTACCATGGGAGTAATCAGACCCTTGGCCTTCCTGGGCTCTGCTAACCCCAAATTCTGTCCCCTAGAAGTCAAGGCCAAATGGACTAAGAGCCCCAAGATATGGGGATGAATGAGGAATCTGGGGTCAGAGTGTCCTGCAGGGTCTTATTTAAACAAATCCAAGGCTAAGCAGATTGAAGGAGTGGTGGAGGGCATGAGGGGCAATGGTGGACAGTGCTTGGTTTGGAAGAGAGAGAGGCAGTGATCTAAGCAGCCTGGCAAGCCAGTGTGGGCTAGTGGTGTGAAGCAGGAGAGCCAGCCGGCAGTGACAAGAGGCCTGGTGACACCTGCCCCAAATGACCTCGTCTGCTGTGTCCGGGGGTAGTAGTACCGGGGGTAGGTTGTGCTCAGCTCCAGAATAATGAAGGCCCCTGGCCCAGACTTCCTCCTCCTCTGGAGCTATATCCCACAAGCAAGAGACAGTGAGGCTTAGGTGCCCAAAATAGTGATTTCTAGAGACCCTCACAGTCGTAGAGGGATTTGATGTCCTGACTTCTGGGCGATCAGGTGGAAGCACAGTTGGGACAAAGATGAATGAAATGGCCCTGCTGCCAGGGGATACAGTCCAGCCTCAGTCTCCTGGGGGTGAGCCTTTATACAAAATCTAACTCATTATTTTTAATTTTACCAAGCAATCTTTTAATTCTAGTAATTATAGTATTATTAGAGAAGGCATTTAAAAAAGTGTTTGTGAGATGTTCTGGGTGATACCAAGTAATTTCAGTGGAGTAGATTGTGTAGGGAGGGGCCTTATCTATCGAAATTAGGTTTCTTTTAAAATGGATTCTATGTCTGGTGTCAGGGTTCCCCAGGAGGGCCCTGTATGGACAGGTTGCTCTCTTCACGTGCCTCTTCCGGTCAGTTCTGTGGGAACAAAGGGTTTGAAGCCTGGAGTGTGGCACCCCCAGGAGGGAGAGATGATTACCAGTCCATCAGCCATCAACCTCAACCTCCTTTCTCCCTGATGCCTTCCCTGCTTCAGGTCACTAACTGGCCAGTCCCCAGTTAGTGGAAGGTTAGGCGTCCTCCATACGGGCAAGAAAGAATGACTTGCATATTCATTTCCTCTGCCCATGTGTGTGATCCCTGCACAGGAGCAAGCCTGTGTGGTGACAGTGCCTGACAAGCCTCCCTTGGAGTTACTCCAACCTTCTTCCTGCTCCCGCCTCCCAAGGCTGTGCACGTGATCACCTCCAGGGACAGGTTCCCTTGGGGGGAGGTGAGAATCAGACTGGCAGCCAATCAAATGCTTATGGAGCAAGTGCTGACCTCTCCCTCAACCACCGCTCGCTGGCCACTTGGGCCTCACTTGAGAAAGACAAAGAGAACAGTAATTTTCACCTTGCCAGGCCCCTGCCTCCCTCCCTGGAGCGTGTGTCCCACTTTACTGTTGGTGGCTGGTGGTTGGGGAAATAGGAGCTCCGGCAACGGGCGGCAATGCAAAGCCAACCAACATTTTGCTCTTGTGCCGCCTTGGCTGGTTGTCTGCGTGCAGGACAGGCAGACATTTGTGGGGAAGGGGCTGCCGGTGGGGAGGTATTCCGATGGTAATGAGCCATCTGAGAGGAGTTGTAGTGCAGTCAGAGAGGGTGGCCCCGGCTTACAGCAGATTCTTTGATTTTAGGTGAGTGGACGTGAAAGGGTAAATCCCTGTGCCCCGCAGTCTTACCTCCCGCCCTGACGTCCCTGCACAGCAGCCAGAGGGGTAATCGTAAGCGGGTGCCTGTATGGCCGCTTTACTGATGCCACGCAGGTAACTGGTGCTAACCTGTCTTCTTGCCCCACCCTTCTCCTCTTTCTCCACATTCCCACTCCCTGCTGCTTGAGCTGGCCCTGAGCCTTCTCATCTTTAATCCCATGGGTGGTTCACTTGCATCCATCCCCCCAGGCCCCTGCGTGGACTGTGTCGTCCTTCTCTGGGTGCTACTTGCAAAGTTATCACCTTGCAAGCAAGGCCTGTCTTAGCACCCAGCTCTTCTAGCTCCCAGCAGGACTTACTATGGGTGGGACTATGCATGAGCTTGTATGGAACCCTTTAGGGACCTCTATAAGGTACTGGAATGGGGCAGAAATATGAGGGCAAGTTTTTTTTTTTTGGTAACTTTAACCTTTGACTCTTGCTTCTGCTCCCATTATTGTGGACCTACCTAACGAGGGTGTAACTCAGGTCTCAGCTAGACAAGATGGAAAATCAAAACCACTTTGCCCCAAAGAGTATTTTGTGGAAGATTTTTGCAAACTACTTGGGAGAATCACTGTTGTCTTGATAACAAGTAGCCCCTTTACAATGGCCCCTGCTAAACTTTGTTAGGTGGTTTGCATGGATTTGCCATTTTTTGAAACCTCTTAGTTACTCTTTGGGGGCATCAATCTGACTGTCTTATGATAGATGATTCTGAGGCACCACTGACTCCCTGAAAGGTGGATTTTGGCCTGTGGTGCAGCCTGAGCAAGACCTTTACTTGAATTCATGGAATGTGATGACTCAGGGGCCCTTGATCAGTTGCTCGCATGGCCTGGTGTCAGAGCATCCTATGATGAGTAAGAGTGGTCATAAGGAGCTTGCTGCCCCAGGCGAGAGAATGGCTATAGCCAATGTGCTGAAATGCCATGCAATCGATGACTTCATAATGCACTTGGCTGAGATGAGGGGCAGGAGCACAGGATACACAGGCCCCATTTTCTGCAGGAGTGGGGTTATTTCTGGGCACTTGGATGTCCTAGCCTTAAAAAGCTTGGAGATGGGCTGTGGAATACAAATGCTGTCCATCCTTGCCAAATATAATACCATCCTGGGAAGCATTCATTGGATAAGATTTCTGTGAACAATTAGCAGGGTCAAGGATGAAAACCCGTTGGAAGTAAAAGGAAAAGATTGAATTGCATGACTTCTACTGTCTCTGCCCATGCCCAGGATTTGTGAAAAAGAGGAAAGGATGGCCAGGCTGAAAGGATGTCCTTTCCAATATGGAGAATGAGATCTTGTAGGACTATTTGCTTGGCAAATGGTTGCCAGTGTATGTGTCGAAGTCTTTTTTTATGAGTCACTTTCAAGTTCTGATCTGATTATACCAAAGCCCTTCTACTCACCTTTGCCCTCCATGGGCCATGGTTAAAGGTCTGGGGTTAGTAAACTTACTCTGTCAAGGGCCAGAGAGTAAATATTTTTAGTTTTATGGGCCATACACTCTGTGTTGCAACCACCCAATTCTGCCCTTGTGCTCAAAAAACACAGTTGACATTAGACACTGTGTAAATGAATGGGTGTTGTGTTCGATTTACATGAACAGGTATCTTTCAGGGCTGCAGTTTGCCAATCTGGTTAAAGGTGAAGGGGGGGCTAGTGTTAGCAGTCAGGAAGAGACATTAGCACCATTTCTCACTGCACCCTCCACATCAGATAACCATTTATGTGTTTGGTCCTTAGGAAGATAAAAAATATGAGAATTTTAAACATGCATGTTAAAATTTTAAACATGCGGATTGCAATAAACCAACATCTAACTAGGAATATGAGAGCTTAGTTGAGTAGATAAAAGAACTGATGGGGGGCACTGGTTCTTAATTGCTAATGGAACCAATTGCTCTTCTCCTGACCTGTAGGGATTGGTCCTTGTTGGTCTGTAGTCATTCGCCTATATCCTCAGGTCTGTGGGATGAACTGAGCTGCTGCGAAGCCCCATGCTTTGTGCTCTGAGACTCTATGATATGCACCCCCGTACTGTGCCGGCACCCCTCTACTTTCCGTGTGGGCACCACTTCTGGGGCTTTGCTCTCAGGAGCCGCTGTGGCTACTGCTACTTTGCCCTCCTAGTGGGAAGGCAAAATGTGGACTGTTATTTCATCATCACTGTATTTCCTTTCCCTACAGAGAATCCTAATTTAGAAATTCTTCCAAGCTAACGACCTTCATTGACTTACCGTCAGCTTGTGTGTCAGCTTTAAAAAGCATGAAGCCTCTAGGGGTAGGGTATCTCTTACTATTCTGGGAGTCGAGAGAGGGAGAGGGTATATCCCTTGGTCTTCTAGGTGCCTCTCCTCTTGCTCATGAAATCATCGGGGCTGCCTGGGGAGGGAAGGGGGTCAGGGTGGCCACGCAGGCTCCTGCAGCAGCTGCTCTGAGCTGACAGCCGGTGGGGTGACAGTCCTCCGTCCTTCTGCCCCTGTGCTTGTTGTAGGAACAAAGGGATGAGGACTCGACTGGGATGCCTGTCTCACAAGTCAGATTCGTGTAGTGATTTCACAGCTATTCTTCCCGACAAACCCAACCGTGCTCTAAAGTGAGTAGTACGGCCACCTGCACGCCCAGGGTGCCCACAACTGGGTGCTCATGGCTGGGCTATAGAACCCGTTCTTCTCCAGTGAGTTGTTGACCAGATGAGCCAAGTGACAATAAATTCCTGCCTTTTGGAAGCTCCTTTTTTTATCCCTGAATGTGAGTGAGAGAACGTTTATTTTCCTTTGCAAAATGTATGATTCAACTCAGAAAAGAGACTTTCCTTTTACTCCTTTTCCCATACTGTCTACCACTCTTATAATACTGTGGTGAAGGATATTTTTGGTTCTATTTAGTGGTCAATCTGAGCTCTTAATTGGGAAACAAACACTCAAATCTACTCTAAAAATGTGCTCAGATTCGGGTAATCTGGATCCAGTGCCTGTACTGGGCAGGCACTGTGAAAGACGTTACCAACATTACCTTGTTTGACTCTCAAAGGGTCCTGGGATGGGTGTTGTAATACCCCTTACAGAAGTGAAAAAATTAAGGTGACAGTAAGAGATGGAGTCAGGAGCTCACACTAACTTTTCTGACTCCAAGACCAGTTTCTTTCCATTGTTATCTTGACATCTTTACATCACGCACTTACTGAGCTTTGTTTTTTAGCCTGAAAGCCAGTATACCAAATACACTGAATTCCAATCCTGAGGGCTTTCCTCATTGGCTTAAGAAACAGGGACAGAATTCAGGGAATCCAAGTGTGGTCTCCATTTACCGCCCCCACCCGACCCCACTGTTTTCATTTGTTCTCATGAGCAAATCATGGTGGTGGTTGTAGGAGAGGAGGTCATTTCAGAAGTATTCAAGAGAGCTGTTTCTTTTTTCCTAGGAGATTATCTACAGAAGAAGCTACCAGGTGGGCAGATTCCTTCGATGTACTTCTCTCCCATAAGTGTAAGTAGAATTTAGGTTTTATTACACCACGGCAAATCGTCTATTTAGTAAAAGATGTGCCAAATGCCTACCGACCAGGTACTGTGCTAGGCACCCCAGAAGGTTCCAGTCCCTGCCCTCACAGAGCCTCCTGCTTACAGGGACAAAGAGATAAGAAAGCATAATTTCAATGCAGTGGAAAGAGGGTCTTCTTGTGTTTTCTGGGTTGAAACTATGGTCCCAAGAATCCTTCAAGTTCTCATCAGTTTTAGCAGAAAGAATTTAGCTTAGGGAGTTGGAATGACGGGCTCAGTGGGAATGAGAGCATCTAGGTTCCTTCACAGATCATGTGTATAAAATTAAATGACCTCTCCCAACTCACTGGAGAGCCTTAGGTTACTCATCAGTCAAATGAATACTCTGTGATTTTTGTCATTCACTTGAGTTGGCAGTTTTGAGTTTTCTTCTTTTTTGTTTTGGACGCTTACCACCTCAGCTGTATTGTACCCCACAATTTCTGACTGGGTGCAGGTTTTACGGGCACACACTTCCACTCTCCCATCTCTTCCATGTTTTCTCTTCCTTTTCTCTTACTCCTTTGCTTCCCACAAGGGCAGAGATGGTTGAACATATCTCAGGAAGGGCACTTGGATGGCAGCCAGACTTTTCAGTTCTTTTTTTCTCCTTACAACTGACTGCAAATTCACTGGGCTTTGAAATCCTAGTGGCATGAAATACATGGCAGAGGAGGAGCTGGCTGAGGAAGAGAACAGGGTCTTTTGAGGAGAAGTTTTCACTCACGCATTCAGTGCTCCTCTTAAATTTGTCTTGTCAGTCTTAGGAGTATTTGATCTGGGAGTGAAATGGCTGCTTTTAGTTTAGAGTATTTTTCCACTTGACTGGGCTCACGATTTTGTACACTGATGTTAAGGGCATAGCTGGTAGTCCATAGTACTTGATTTGACCCAGCTTAGCTACTGGATGGTTGAGGGGCCTTGATGGGGTCCCTCGGTCTTCAGAAGATGTCTTTAAAAGTGATTTTGTTTTCCATCGGATGATCAGTTTCCTCTGACGATGCCCCTGATCCTAATAAATGAATTAACAAATGCTTTTGAATAGATTTTAAAATGAAATGCAACATCTAAGAATAAGTACTACTGGAGCAAGTAATTTTGTGAGACAGTCATTTTAGTGTTCTGTGGATTACACTTAGAAAGGGAAATGAGGCAGCATAGATAGAGCATATATAACATATGGCTGTACCCAAACACACGCTCGTGTGGTTAATTTGCCAAGGTAATGGCATATGTGTGATAATACTGAGGATTTGACAATGATTTGTGTTTTTTATGAGGCCATTTTGGTTTATTTTCTGGAGTCACATTAGGCTAACCAAGTGTCACTATCGATTTGTACCTTCTTTTCTGGATGGATTTGATTCAAGGTCATCTTGAAGTTTGGTTTCTATTTCAGCCTCAGGACTGACTCAGTTCAAGTCCCTGAGGCTGTTTCCTCATTCTAAAATGGGGATGGAAATACCTGCATGCTACGTGTCACCAAAGCATGAGACTATTCATAAAAGGACACCTTCAGATGATTTTGGGTTCTTTACTCAAAGACGTTTTGCAAGAATATGGTGGTATTTTAAAAAATGATGCTTTTATTTATCATATGCAAAATAAAGTACCTTGAGAGTAGGTTGCAAATTTTGCTGCCAATTATCTGTGTTAAGCCATTGTAGACAGAGTTTATGGTGGTAAAATTAGTGGCTGGAAACGTAGGGTATATTTGGATTACTACAGTGACAAAACTTGATTTAAGAGGCTTAATTGTATGTTTTTGATTCAGTGACTTTTAGACCTGAAGACGGTTTATTATGCTTCTGTTGGGGATGCTTTTGGTTTCCGGGAATGCATAACACTTTTCTGAGATGGGGACCCCATCCAGGGGTTACAAGCTGACATCAGATTGCTTCTTTGTACAAACACTACAGAAATAGCGTTTTTGAACTGTGAAATTCTGTGATCCTCCTTGGATTCTGATGTTCTGCTTTGATTTGTGTTTAGTATGGCAATAAAAAGGCAATGGAGTGAAGGTCTTTGAGAAGAAAGGGACCTTACTGGTCACTGGAAGAATTTCCAGGTTTTAGAACCCGAACACTTACTCCCCGTGAAGGCTATAGAGGAGTTAGAGCCCAAGTTACCTTGAAGGGTGTTGACAACTTACTAAAAGTCTAATTAATCTGGGTTAATATTGTCACTCAATTAGGACTGATTAAGCTTTTTCAAAGGGACTGCCTGTGTGCTGGTCTCTTAGGAAGGACAGTGGTTGATCAGAGGTATGTAGGGTTTTCAATTAAGACAACAAATACCCTAAAAAGCAAAGAAAGGGAAATCATTAAATGACTGGGCTCCAGAAAAATGTGCATCAATCTAGACCCCAAGCTCTGGTAATTCTCCATACCTAGGCCACTGTTCTCCCTGGTTTTCCTGTTTCAGGAAATGCAGATAATTATTTTTGTTTCCTTTCTCAATCTATAGAGCATCTTTGCCACCCATACTCTGCCAAAATGAGTTTTGGGCACTCATTCTTTTTTTTTAGAAAAAGGTGTACTGTACAAAGTCTATGCTAAGCAGCTGGTTGTGGGGGGCCACAGAGATGAACAAGACGGTCCTTCCTGGTGGAGAATGCAGCCTTCTGAGAAGACAGACTTGAATACAAATAACAAAAGAAGTAATACAGTGTGTGCTCACTATGGATTAAGGGGCTTCCCGATCTCAGAGTCCTGACACCCAGTGCTCCTCTTCAGTTTTCTCAAGTCAGTATTGAAGTCCTTGCTGATCTGGAGCAGAAGGGCCACTTTTTTTTTTAGAGCATTGCTTCCACTTAATTGGGGGACATGCTTCTGCGCAATTAAGTTAAGAACACTGGCTGGTAGTCAGATCTGTGTTCTTGGTTTTGGCTCAGCTCTGCTATTCAATAGCTGGGTGGCCTTGATGGAATCCCTCCGGTCTCTTGGAAAATCTGTTGCCTCATCTCTACAATGAAGAATCCCGAGTAGAATGTTTCAAAGGCTAGTTCCAGTTCTCCCCTCTTGTTCTGAGATGCTCTCTGTAGCAACTATTGAGACGGGGCCATAACCAGTCGCTGACGGCAGGTGGTTTGAGTCAGCGCTGCCTGCAGGGTTATGAAAAACTGCTTCAGACCTGAAATGCTCCAGCAACCAGTGAGGGGCTAACACCTAACTTGTGTTATGAATGCTTCTCCTTTCCTTGGTGGGTCCCCCAGTGTAGGGGGGGCACATCACCGGCTCAAATCTCAGGGAAAAAAAGAAAGCAACTTCGCTGTTTTTTAAACCTTAGAATAAAAAAAAATCTGGAAGGCAATTATTTGGAGCAGTTTGATTTCCAATCACATTTAGTTTATAAATGCGGTACAAAGTGAAGAAGCACTCATGGAGATCTGGGCGATAGCCACTTGCTAAGTGTCCTTTTATTTTTTTTTGAAATAACAAATAAAAAGTGAAATTGAAATGGCTGATGGCTTCTTTAGGTAGGGAAGGATTTCTAATGTGCTTTATTTAGCATCTTTTTCTGTTCATCCAGCGGCAATTAGACTTGGTGTCCGTGTGCTGCTCACGTATTCTGCCCCGAGGGTGTGTGTCTGTGCGTGTGTGTCCAGCCAGAAGCCTTTCTGCCTCTGCAGCTCATACCGGGGAGAGTGACGGCTCCCTGTTCATAGGAGATCTTTTCTGACTGGTTTCTGTAGAGCAGGCACAAAATTGTCTGTCTTCTGCTTTTGTTCCTTGTGTGGTTCAGGCATATGCTTATTATTTGTCCAGCTTTTAGTGGGACATTCCGTCCAGAACTTTGAATCAATTCTTCCCTTCCTCCCTCCCTTTTTCCTTCCTTTGTTTTTCTGGACATAAATGTTGGATTCATTCTGGTTTTAAATAGAGGTATTGACAGTTCCTTCCGCCTCCCCTGCCCTTCTTTATGCCCGGTCCCTCCCCTGGTCCCTCCCCTGGATGACAGACCTCCTCTCCTTGGGCATGATGTGGTCCTTGGCATTGTTTTGTTATTGGCTTGGAGCATGGAGCTGACCTGGCCCCACCAGGCCCATGGAAAGCCAGGCAGGTGGACAGCACAGGTGAAAGATCTTTTATGGACCCTGAGAAAAGGAGGCCAATTGAGGAGCTTTTAGTTTTTCAAAATTAGCCCCTCTGGGGATAGGGATTGAGATAAAGAAAAATATAATGACTTGACCTGGTTACGTAGCAAGCAAGCAGAAAACCCCAAATAAGCAAACACTAAAATGATCAGCTCATGGAAGTCCTGAATTATGTATTCAAGTGGCCTTGACTCTAGAATATACAATTTAACAATCAGGCTCCATTTACCCCACAGTCCTCCCCACATCCCTTTCCAAGCCAAAAGTTTCTAGAACAGTGTTACTTGAAATGAGATCCTAGGAAAGCAGCCATGGCAGCAGCTGGGAGCTTGTGAGAAATGAAAATCCTTGTGGCCTGTGTCAGACCCACTGAATCAGAATCTCAGGGGGTGGAGCCTGGTGGTTTGTTTCTCCCCAAGCCCTCCAGTAATATTTAAGCTTGAAAAGCACTGCTCTAAAACACAAGGAAGCGAAACTGAATCGAGCATCGTGGTGGGCCAGGTGGTCTGTGATTTTCAAGAAACACTAAAGACTCTGCGGCAGCTTTCAAAGTTCTGGCAGTGCATCATGTTGATGGTACATTGTCCATGTATGTGGCAGGTTCCACATATATAGCAGGTAGGGAGGAGGATGTTCCCAGTAAATAGACAAATATGGCAGGTGTGTGTCCTGGATAAACTGAGGATCAGAGTTAGAAAGAGATGTGTGAAGCAGAGATGGCTGGAAAGGAAACTCCTCTTTCTCCTTGCCATAATTTTTACTTGCACTCAGGAATGTGGGTGCATTTAGCCGTTACCTAAACAGTGCTTGGAATATATCGGGTGACTATTAAGAGCTTGGTGAAGAAGGAT